AAAAATATAGAAACGTAAAGGAAACCGAGGTACATAGAAACAACCAATGAACGAAAAAAAGGAAAAAACAATAGCAAAAAAAGAAAAAAAACACGAATAGGAGTAAAAAAACAAAAAGCCGAAAAAAAAAACAACGGAAACAAATAAATGGAACAAAAAATGAAAAGAAAGAGAAAACAAGGAACGAACAAAAAAGAAAAAACAGGAAACAAAAACAGGAAAAGAAAAAAACAACGAAAAAAAACATACGAAAAAAATAGATGAAAAAAAGGAAAAAACGGAGAAAAAAAAGGAAAAAAAGGAAAACAAAAGGAAAAAACACGAAAAAAAAACAACATAACAAACGAAATGAAAGCAAAGAAAAAACAACGAAAAAGAAAAAAAATCAACGAACAAAAAAAAAACATGGAGAAAAAAAATTCGGAAAAAAAAACGAAAAAAACAACGCGAAAAAAAAAATAAATAAAAAAAACATGAAAAAAACGAAAAAAAAAACGAAAAACATCGAGAAAAAAATCAAAAAAACCCGCGAAAAAAAAAAAACGAAGAAAATCGAGAAACACAAATCGAAAAAAAAAACGCGAAAAAAAACACCGGAAAAAATCGAGAAAAAAAATCGAAAAAACAAACAAAAAAAATCGAAAAAAAAAATGGAAAAAAAAAGGGCGAAAAAAAAAAAAAAAATAGAACGAAAAATCTTACTTCGCAAAAATACCTTTAATTCAGCCCTATGGTTACTTTAAGGATGCTGTGAGACTTTGTCATATTGAATTGCAGAACAAAAGCCGACCAAAACAATAAAAATAATCAAATTACTATGCCAAACAAAGATTTGCCTCAAATCCAGCTCCAACAATATTTCTCCAGTTTTTGGAGCAAAATAGGGCCAAAGTCACACACAGCCTTAAATGCACCCCTAGGCTGAATTTAGTATTTTCTAAATAAGATTTTTTTGTTTGTTCGTTTTTTTTTTTTTGTTTTTTTTTTGTCGCCTTTTTTTTGGTGTCTTTTTTTTTTAGTTTTCACTTTTTTTCTCGATTTTTCGTTTTTTTTTTTCGTTTTTTTTTTTTTGCGTTTTTTTTTTTTTGTTTATAAAACCGTTTTTTTTTCCGTTTTTTTTTCCGTTTTTTTTCTCGATGTTTTTTCCGTTTTTTTTCCCGATTTTGTTTTCCGTTTTTTCTTCTTTTTTTTAGCGTTGTTTTTTTTTCTTTCCGTTTTTTTCTTTTTTTCGTTTTTTTTTTGTATTTTTTTTTCTGTTGTTTTTGTTTTCTTTATATTTTGGATTTTCTTTACCTTTCCATTTTTTGTTTCTTTCTTGTTTTTTTTTGGAAATGGTTCTAATGTATTTTTTTTTTGCTTGTGTGTTTTTTCATTATATATTTGTTATTGTATTTTCCTTATTTCCTTAATCTTACTGGCCGGCGTTGAATTCAAAGAATTTTGACTTTTCCCACAATTATATGTTGCAGGAAAAACATATTTAAAAAGTTTATTTCAGTGTTTTTATTGGAAAATTCCTTGTGTAAAAAATCAAAAACGGTGGATTTTGCAAAAAGATCAAATTTCATTTTTTTTTGAAAAAAGAAACATGGGAAAAAGTCGAATTTCCTTAAATTCAAGGCCAGCCTTTGAATTTAAGGATTTTGCGGAGACAAAAAAAAACACACAGAAAACATAAACAAGAGAAAAACATAGAATGAAAACGCAAAAAGGAAATAAATGAAAAACTGAACAGAATTAAAAAAAGAAAACTAGAAGAATTGAAAACAAGGAAAACACAATACATCTATTTATTGTTTGTTTTTTCATTGCTTTCAGATTGATGGAATTAATGCTTCCTGGGCGACGATCCTATGCTCAAAAATGTCGCCTGCGGCGGGCCTTTGTTAAAGACTACCTTTTTGTGAGCAGCCGGCAAGGCACAGGATTCTGGCTGCAAAAAAAAGAAAGTAAAACTGTACTGAAATAAAATAGAAGAAACAAATGAAAAAAATTAACTGAACTCTTGGCCGTGTCCCGAAATTAATTGCGCAACCCTGTCTTCGCAACCCTCTCTTCAGCCAAGAATCCCCTACATTTGATCTTATGAATTTTGCATAGTGCATGCACCTTATTTCGGGGGCAAACCTTAAAGACAACCCCGCCACCTTCCACAACTAGATTTTCACAGCTGTCCAATTTTAATTCAATGATTGATTTTTTAGTGGGAAAAATCATACAAATTGATGGTTTGTTTTTGTAAGATCGACTTGGCCTCTCACATTTTTGTGCTGTGGGGCACCGTGCACATAATAAGATTTGTGGGACTTCAACTGGATGAGAATCAACAAATGCGAGACACGCCCAGGGCCTACAGGAACAAAAAACAAGCTGAGAGACAGCGTCTTACTGAACATGGGAACATGTACCAAATATAAATCAATACAACGATCAGACCATAAGTTCTACATGGGCAAGCTGGCAAGCATTGCCCAGTGGGGTTAATTGTGATCTTTATCTCGTGTTCAACTTCGTTATCAAGGTCGGTGTAGCCCCCATACCAATTTCAATGACCGTCAACACTACCTAGCGTTATGCACAACCCCCCGACCTTAAATACAAGCACCCCCCATGAATTACGAAAGTTAACAATATATACCTATAGTTAATGGGAAAAAATGTTCCAAGCCACCAACCAGTAATTTCTTCACAGAATTGGGTTTCTTCAATACCGAGCATCATCCAACAGCCTCCCAAAGCACGACCCTCCTCTAACATCTTCAAAAGCCGTTCATTCTTTGTGGTCTGGCGCGCTTGAAGCCGTTGACAAACGGACAAAAAATGAATGATTTTGAGTTAGGACAGGATGTTCCTCCATTAATAGTAATTTATTGCCAAAGAATGCCAAACACAAACATACATAACCTACTTAGCTAACCTACTCAATCAAGGATCACCCAGTGGTGCGAATGTTTCCGGGGGGCATCAATCTTTTTCATACATTGAAATGTCTGAAACTGGTGAAGATAGACCCCAAAGCATGGCCAATGCCCAGAACATATCAAACATTATCCACATCAATAATATAATATATAATCTAATACTCTATAACACATTATAACTGGGGATGGTTTAAATCGCACAATGGTTCATGGCATTGGGTTTACTCACATTATAGATATAGGATTGCTATATATATATATATATATATGAATATATACATATATTATATACATATATATTTATATATGAATATATATTATATGTACAGTATATATATATATTATTAGGTATTGGGGTTTATGAATCAAGTTTGAACTGACGGGCAGCACCTTGTTTCAACTGGGGAACTTCCAGGCTACCAACTTTGCTCAGGGTGACCCACGTTTGGGGAACTCTTCGATCATCTTCGATGATTTGAACGGGAAACCGTAGGTTTTCCATGGTTTTCCTCATTGATATCCGGTTGGTGGTTTCAACCCCTCTGAAAAATATTGGTCAGTTGGGATTATTATTTCCAATATATATTATAATATATGCAAAAAACCTGTTCCAAACCACCAACCAGGAGTTTTCCCTAGGGTAATTCTCTATGAAATGCTGGTATGATTGTCCGTCAATATGGGAGAATTCACCAAGTTCTTGACCATGGCACATATTATGAAGCTGTGCATTTCTATCAATGACACCCCACCCTTCCTGTCGATCATGTTGAAGTGTTGGGGACATTTGGGGTTTATCGATTCACATTCTCTGCAGAACATCCATGTCTTTGGAGCGAAATCTTATGTTTTTGCTTCCAAAACCAACAATAAACTGTGGGATATGACTGACAATCATTCATGAAAATGGCAAAATGGTGCAAACATCTTTGAAACAATCCATTCGAACAAACAAACCAATGGTGTTCTCAGGTTTTTCTGTTATGTGTCCCTGGTTTTCGTTCACACCCCACAGTCACAGGTCACCGGCTAAGGGCACGGACCCCTTCGGTCCAATCTTGAAAGACTTCTCGGTCCTCGGGTCCAGGAAATATCAGCGTCATAAAAACACAATGTAGGTAAAACATGGTAAAACAATGCCATAAACCACCCATTTGGGAATTGTTTATACAACCTATAAAAATGGTGATTTGGGGGATGGTTTATTGTTTTAACCACATGATATAATCAATTAATAAATGCAACATGCTTCCCCAAAGTAGCTAGTTCAGGTAGAGATATCACCGATATTAACCAATCCCCAAAATGGCTACTTTAGCTGAATCTTGCGCTTTGGGTTGGTTTTTTCGATCTTCACATAGCTTCACTAGTTGCCCTAGTTTATGAGGTCTACTTGGTGGCTCATCGCACGAATCGTGAGTGGGTGATAACCCTACTTATAGGTGGATTAACCCTACTTCTCCCACTTAGAATTGGGCTTATAATCCAGTTACTAGCTGAGATGAACCACCAAGTATGAACCAACAAACATACCCTCTGGTAATTTGTTACATAGCTATTGAACATGGCCCATGTATAGTTGATTTACCTATTAATAGCATGGTGATTTTCCACTTCGCTACGTGAAAAAAAAACAGAGGGTAGCTGGGCTGACCCTTCGGTGATCCAGACTCTGACGTTGCTCTCAAGGCTGGGCCAAGGCTCTTTCTTCTTCATCTCCGCCTGGGGGAGACGAGAGCAACTTCGAGACGCAAAAACTGTAGATTCTAAAAGGAACACACAATGGTTGGCCAAACAAACCCAAAAATATGTTTATCCAAATCTATCCAACCAAAAGTTGGAGATATGCAATGGTCAAACAATCAAAACAACACGAGAACAATAGGAGGCAACAACCAACACGCAGAACCAGTTGATGTCATCAACAAACATTAGAATATATTGGAATATAAACAACAAGACAAATATATCTGAAAAGGTTTGCCACAAGTCAGGCAAACTTTAGTGGACAAGTATCACAACATATCACAACGATATGAAAGGCATCGTTCAAAGACCCCAAATCCCCACTTCGAAAGCCTCCACTTCCGCTCCGGCATCGATGACCGTGCGACCTTGGGCTTACCCTAGGTGGTCCCCCCGGTTGAGAAAATCACCCAACTGATAACCATAAATATCTACCTTAAACCATAGCCAAAATAACTGCACATTAACTTAGCCTTGGCTATCTTGGCAATGACTACTAATAACAGTTATAGATATTTTATAAAATAAACTAAACTATATGGAATCTCAACACAAATCCCGTGTTTTTCTTCAAATAAACTACATAAATCCCATATGCCATATCCATGATATTAGACAATATAATCATGGGTATATCGAGGTCCCTCCCCTCGAGATACCCCCCCCCCCGAAACTATAAAATTCATATCTGGAAACTTTGTTAGGGGCGATTAAGCTGTAATAAGGCATTGTTGGAGCCTAACCATTTTCTTCAAGTTTAGGGCTTAATAAGGCTCTAAAAGGGGAAAACTGCTTATAGAGGATTTCCCCAAAAAACATTTAAGCCTTAAAAGGGTATTGACCCGAAACGCATACATGGTGAAAGTTTAGTGCTGGGAAGTGGCCATCTCCGTTTATTTCAATGGTTCCCGGGCATTCCCTTTAAAAGTGACTCACGCGTACACTAACATTTCTGTTGCCTTTGAGGTAGGTAAGAGGGTGACTTGTACCTTTATGTTTTTGGGGTTGGCTACCTATCCACTGTAACAGGAACAGGAAACCCGAAGATCAAATCAAGTGAGCTTTCACTTTTTCCGGTTCGCTTTGCAAACGGATCTATTGCCGGGATTTGTTCGCCTAAAGTGAGCAAACCATGATTCTTGTCTTGTTGACAACGTTCACATTTTTGTGAACTGTTGATCTGGGCCTGAATCTTTCTCAGCATCCAAGAGTTCGAGCTTCTAAAAAACACAAAAACTGATCCTTGGATGGGAAATGATTGAAAACAAACAGGATAGGAATCAATAACCTTATTATTACATTGTTGTCTTGACAGTTGGCCATTCAACCCTTACTCATCCAAACCTCACGTGAAACCGTTCAGTTTGTGAACTACCCGATGTACGCAAAGATTTCAGAGGCATCGGGAGGCTTTAGCTGTTCGGATGGACTGTGGTGTTTATTCCACCTTGTGAATGCCCAATTCACTATGAAATTGATTGCGTCGAATTCTTCAAGGCAATTTCTCGTAGGCCAACTGCGTGAGCAGGAACTGATCAATTCCTTGTCGCCTCAGGGGTCGCAAATTTCGCGCAAAATTCAGGATAATCAGCAAAGGAACAAGAATCGGAGCGTAATTGTTTTGGACATCGCAAAATAAGATGCAGCCCACGAACCCGAATGCAGTCACTTAGAAACCTTTTGTGATACAAATTATTTGAACATTCTTGTACATTCTTCCCCTGTAACCGTACCAGTGCGCTGTAGACTGTGGCATGTGGAGTGGAGTGGGGTGCAAAGTGCGGAGGGTGAAAAGTGGAGTGTAGAGTCAGAGTGGGGAATGTAGCGTGAGAGTGTCAGATGGGGATTGTGGAGTGTGGAGTGTAAAGTGTAAAGTGTGGGGTGCAAAGTGTAAAGTGTGGGGTGTGAAGTTTAAAGTGTAGGGTAGTGATGTAGAGTGTCAAGCGTGGAGTGTGGAGTGTACAGTGTAAAGTCTGAAGTGTAAAGTGTAAAGTGTGGAGTTCAAAAACAAGAACAATAGGCCACAAAGAATTAAATGTCTGGGGCCCGAAAAAAAGCCCAAAGAGTATCCCCAACAGCCAGAAACAAAAACAGTTACCAAACACGCAATGACTGAATGAAGTATGTTTATTGCCCAGCCCTTCTTACTCTAGAGGTCGGGCATGCAAGGCGCAATCACTGCACAGACACTTTATGAAAAACCGCTTTTCCAAAAGCGTTTGCAATACTGTGGCAGCTGAAGGACCAATGTTCCCGAAGCTCGTGAAAAAAAACAGTCAATTATATTAATATTGAATATTAAATACGATATAAGTGAACAAAAAATACTATTCAACACACAATTATAGTTATAGATCGAAAAATATATATTTGTATATCCCATTGATAGATGTTGGTCGATTAGTTATATATCATATATCACAGTTTTATCACAGTAGTCACTAATAGCTATAAATCCCATTCTACCACAATTCCCCTAGGGAAAAAAAACATACTTCCAATACGAGTTGAAATACCCATCGGGGCAGTGGGACGCTGTTCACCTGGACGTTCTGGGCAATAAGCCATGAACAAAGAATCCGGTAACGTTGGCGGCGGGGGCAGCCCCGCACCTACTCCCACAGGCATTGGATGTCCACTGGCAGGTGCTGCAGGCATTGGGTGTCCACTGACAGGTCCCGCAGGCATTGGGTGTCCACTGACAGGTCCCGCATGCATTGGGTATCCACTGGCAGGTGCCGCAGGCAATGGATGTCCACTAGCAGGTGCCGCCGGCATCGGAGGTCCACTGGCAGGCGCGGCAGACATTCTCATAGATGGTGGAGTGCCTCCAGGTAACCCCGCCCCGGGCACGGCAGCTGTCCCTGTCGGCCCAACCATGCCAGGAGGATTGACAGGTGGGTTCGGTGGAAAGAATCCACCCATCTCCACCCTCTCAGGCATCTCAGGTGTGTCCATATGGATCCCTTCCGGTGTCCCCATCACACGGACAAGCTCCTTGAGGTGTCGGCTACCAACCCCATCCCCTTATCAACTAGATTGACAAAATCAAGTGGACTATCAAGAGTATAAATCAAACACCACGAAATATCAACTACATTGGCGTTTTTAAACACTATAGATTTATATACTAACCGTTAACAACATTTACACACTTTAAATCGACTATATTAACTATTGGCTATACCAGAAATAGACAAATTGTCTATGTTAGCTATATCAAAATCAAAATAACATTACTGTAGTTAGTTTTATATCTCACTAATACTGTTTACATTTACATATATAAACTTATATATTCCGAATATATCCCAATCATGTTAATCAACACCCATCCCCATCTGCTTATTACAATGATTAAATAGTTGATTATAATGTTTAACATAGCTAATCAAAACACTATATCAAACATGGTTGATGATAAACGAAGTATCGTGGTTAGTGGTTAATATTAATACTATATGGCTAATATTTATACTTTAAATGGGGGATGAAAAATACATACAAATGACCATATGATATAGTTAATTTGCCATCTTAGTTATATATCCCATTATCCCAATTCGTAATATGGTATTATCATGCATCCCTAAAAAGCCATATTAAATGGTTAATTAGTTTTTAGATGTTTTTAGCCATTTGAACCCCCATCCCCCCGTCCCCATCTGCTATTCACATACATTAACGATATTGATAATATTCACATACATTAACTATATTAATAGATAATCATTAGCTATTCCAATGAGATCCCAATCATATTGATCAACCCAATAATACTATATTGACTGTAATAACTATGTTAACTATACTATAATGAACTTTTATCTATTATAATTGGACTGGACGATGTCAGCCATATGAACTACCAACTATTAACTATATTAACTATATTGACTATATTAACTATATCAACTATATTAACTTTCTCAACTATATTAACTAAATATAGCTAATGTCAACTCTGGATTAATAAACCTCTAGGTTGTTTCATTGGGGGGATACCATTTAAGTATCATATTGTGACTATTTGGAGGATACCCCCACAATTAATAAACCATGGTTTATTAATCCGGAGTTGGCATTATATATAACTCTATTAACTATATTAGCCATACATCTCGACCCCCACCATCCCCCCATCTCCATCTGCTTCCCGGGCCGAAGAGGTCGATCTTCGCGTGGATCTTCCGCTTCTCCTCACGCCTTCGCCGCTCCTCGTCTTGGCCCTTGGCCTTGGCCTGGAAAAACCGGGTTTCAACGTGGGGATGCCGTGGGATTTCCCTGTGATTTCATGGGAAAAACATATGAAAACATGATGCGAAAAAAGTGGTGATTTCACAATGAAACATGCTGTGAAAATATGATAAAGTATGAGGATATCACCAGAAAAATCACCAGAAAAATGCTGTTGAATCAGGGATTTCACGAAGAACACATGTGTTTTATAAGTATTCTTTACCATTAGAAATCTGCAGGCTGAAGCGTGTCACAATGAGTATCTAAGCAGGCACATGCTGGCATGCGTAGCAATTTCATAGAATTTCACAGAAAGGAGTGCGATTTAACTAGCATCATCCCATCAATGGGAATTCCAGGATCCTAAAATGGAGGTACTGTACCTTACATAGGCCATAGTTTGCTGGGATATTCACTTACATAGGCCTTACATAGGCCTTATATATGGTAGGTACCTCCAATTTAGGATCCTGAAATGGCATCATCCCACTTTTGTTGTTTCCATACTGTTCTTTGTGCTGCCTAACATCGTTCCAACAACCTACATGGAAAGATCAGACGTTGACGCTACTCCGGCTTGAAAAAAGCTGGACTTGAAAGAATCATATTGTGGCGATGTATTCGCATTTTTGACGAACAAAAAAAAGCCAACACAAATCACATGTTACCTTCTGGTTATGACTAACAATAGCGAAGATGGCCCATTTAGTTCGATAATCATTTATGATTATTTACCCATTAAACATCTACATGGCGAAACTAACATATTAAACATGTTTTACATTATGGTAAACTAACATAGCTATGGAAAATCATATTAACATACCATTTTTAATATACAATTTAAACTATCATCTATGTTAAAATGGTGATTTTCCATTTACCTATTAAAAATGGTGATTTACCTAGAAAAAATTGTGATTTTCTACTTACCTACATGGTATATCATATTAAAAATGCATGGCGAGTTACATCCCAGTTCGCATGGCATAGCGTTATAACCGGAGTCGTTCGCATGAGGAAGTCAACAGCTTTTTGTGATTGTCAACCATGGGAGAAAAACCAAGAAATACACGGGTAAAAAACTGCGTTGCAATGCAGGTTTAAGCACACAAATTCAGGATTTATATAGGAACAATATTGGATAAAATGAGCACCTCATTTTCAATCAAACCCGTTGTATGAGTGTATGTATATGTATATGTATATATATATACATTATTATATGCACATAATTATACACATAATTATACACATATTCTGGTTGGTGGTTTCAACCCCTCTGAAAAATATGAACATCAGTTGGGATTATTCTTCCCAATATATGGAAAGTCATAAAAATTCCTTGGTTCCAAAGCACCAACCAGTATAGCATATGTGGAGGTTTCCTTAAATGAGGGACAAGATTGGATTTTCATGAGCACCTCATGTTCAATCAAACTCGTTGTATGTATATATATATATATATATCTATACACATACAAAAAACCACATATTGATTATACCATCCCGGGTCCTGTGTCATCCATGGTTTACTGGAAATTTCTGGAGAACCTCCATGATCCTGCTGGCCTCTTCCCGTTGTTTTTCAGAGAGCCAGGGGTTGGCAGCTTCAGAGTACCAATCGGTGGCATCATCGTAGACCTCGGTGATGGTCCATGGCAACCTGTGATCCATTTATCATGGGGATATCCTGGGATCCATGGCAATACAATGATATATCATCATTAACAATGGCACAATATACATATACATACACACAATATATATATATATATATGTATATATATATATATATTCATCCACATGATCATTCTATTATACATCATATATGTGACATATATTTTAATCACGCGACCAACTGCTTGTGATCCATACGATGAAATACGATCCATTTGGATAATGCAACAAGACTGTGTCCTATGTAAGCTATTGCCGTTTATGATGTGCCATGATTCAGCTGCGCTTAGGACATTCGAACTTCTGTTGTGTCATCCCATGATCTTAAAATCATGAGCTGGTATTGTTGGTCGAACATGTTGCACATTATATGATATGTCCTACTGCAAACACATAATCATATAAACAATAACCATATTGCAGAAATGATATTACAACATTATTGTTGGGATGTCTTTGATATCTTGCAATAATGTTGCAGGATGGCCTTCCAGTTATAAATTGGTCGATACAGGCCATCCAACTGCAGATATATCCACCATACCCTCTGGTAAACTAACATAGTCACTAAAATTTTGCCATGTATAGTTCATTTACACATTAACAATGGTACTTTTCCATTACCAGAGGGTAATCCAACAGTTTGCCTAGTTTTTGACCAACTTACCTATCCTTCCAGGGGCCTGAGCCATACCCAATTGGGATCAATTGGGGGTCTCCTTAAGTGGGGGTACCCCATAGCTGGATGGTTTTTGTTAGGGAACATCCTATAAAAATTGATGATTTAGGGGTAGCCCTATTTCAGGAAACCTCCAACTGTCAGAATCAATGTGCCTGGATTTGCCTCAAATTGGGGTATACCCCAAAATTTCAGACATGAAGATGAACCATGGAATTCTAAGATTCCAACTTTTGAGACAACCCAAGCATCCGCACCTTTGTTCTGCGCTTGGCATCGCGGTCGTAACTCAACAGTCGATCCTGGCAAGCTTGGCGCTTGAACTTACCAAACGATGCCCCGCGGCCAGGATGTTTTTTTCAGCGAAGCCACGATGACGATATCCCATAATTGGTGCCTCATCCCACTTATAACCCTAGTTTTTTTCGGTGGATTAACCCTACTTATCCCACTTATAATTGGGGTTATAATCCACTTACTAACTGGGATGAGCCACGAAGTATACCCGTATTTATGACAAAAGACAACACGATATAACTACGCGATACTACAGGTGATTCATCCTGTTATATCATGATCAACTATATCGGCTATATATATACACTATATAATAATTTGTCTTGACTAAATCGTCCCTTTCGGTGTTTTGTTTTCCTGTCAAATCAAACCAAATTCAACAGTATATTGTGAAACCTCCATGTTTACAGCCGTTTACAGCAGCATTTTTCATGATTAGATTCCTAAAAACCAGGACTTGGGGCTTTATTATATACTTCACACCATTTACATCCATATGTGTTATTTGCATTTATTTACTACCCCCACCATCACATACCCGGAGCATTGAACATATGCACCCTATCCCATCTCATTTTCCGATTAAGAACATATCCCTTGGATGGTTTATCATGATCCCAAAAAAACATAGGTGACCTTCAATAACCAATCAGCAAAGGTATATGGTTTCAACCCCAGTTTTGGTCTACATCTACTTAGAGGTGCATCCCAGTGTGCAACTAATTTAATAACCATAATATAACCCATGTAATCCCATATATATATATGTATATTATTATACCACAGTTTAACACGGCTTAAAACCAACTCATTTTTACGGAGATGCCGAAGTAAAATCAATGTAGCAAACCGCTGGACCTCCAACATTTCCCCTGCCGGTTCACCTTCGTAGCAACAGCGCGTTGGAAGGAAGCATTGAAGCGTTCCTCCTCCGGCCTGCGTGTTGGGCTGTGCTTCCCAGCTAGTGGCAACAGGATCATTAGGAGTTGTCCAAAACTCTGGTATAGCCTGAAATTATCTGAAATTGTTATTTATCTGGGAACATGAATTTCAAGAAGCATCAAAGTTGGGGGTACGCGAATTCCTGACGAACCCATATACAACTGGAGATATCCCAACGGCTATTCACCACTTACAACTACATGCATCCATCCCCGAATAGGGCGGCAACCCTTTGTAAGATGTGTCTAAACCACACTAAACCAGCTGGTCCAACCTCATATCATGTCGAGTATCTGGGCCATTCTGGCCCCATTTTCAACCTCGAGCTGATCTCTGTTCATCTATGTTCATGCAGGGCTTTCCGACAAAAAAAACAAACATGGATTAAGATGGTAAAGGTTTGTTCCGAATTGCAATAATGTTGGAAAAACAAGAATAAACCATCCCGAATTTCACCATTTTTATAGGTGGTATGTTTACCATTCCCAGTCCTGGGTGGTAAGTTTATGGCATTGTTTTGCCCACGCCGGGCGAAATTTTATGGTTTTAGGGTTAGTTTTAGGGTGAATTTTAGTGTGGATCCGACACCGCACATCCACATTGATGGGTCAATATTCATGCCTGGCAGGTTAAATTGCCCGCCTTTCTTATCTGAATACCATTGAATACCCATGTTCTTGCTGCCCATCTATCACTAGGTCACAAACATTCACCACGTATTGCTGGGGTAGAATATGGTTGTTAGTTATTACCCACTTACCAAATGGTTGGTGGTTGAGCCGCCCCTCTGAAAAATATCAGTTCGTCAGTTGGGATGATGAAATTCCCAACTGAATGGAAAGTCATAAAATTCATGTTCCGAACCACATAGCTATTGAAAATGACCATAGAAATAGTTGATTTTCCCATGAATAGCATGGTGATTTTCCCATCAGTTTTTTGTAAATGTTTACCAGAGGGTATCTTATTTCAGGTCAGTGAAATCTTGTCATTTTTCCGTTTATGAACCATAAACATCCATACTTGGTGGCTCATCCCACTTAGTAAGTGGTCTATGACCCCAGTGATTTACATGGGATAAGTAGGCTAGATCCACCGACATAACTGGGGTTATAACATAACCCACTTACGATTCGTGGGTAGTTCACCACCAAGTAGACACCATCAAGTCATAAAATTCATGTTCCAAGTCACATAGCTATTGAAAATGACCATAGAAATAGTTGATTTACCCATTAATAGCATGGTGATTTTCCCATCAGTTTCTTGTAAATGTTTACCAGAGGGTATCTTATTTCAGGTCAGTGAAATCTTGTGATTTTTCCGTTTATGAACCATAAACATCCATACTTGGTGGCTCATCCCACTTAGTAAGTGGTCTATGACCCCAGTGATTTACATGGGATAAGTAGGCTAGATCCACCGACATAACTGGGGTTGTAACATAACCCACTTACGATTCGTGGGTAGTTCACCACCAAGTAGACACCATCAAGTCATAAAATTCATGTTCCAAGTCACATAGCTATTGAAAATGACCCAGTCGAAATTGTTGATTTACCCGTTAATAGCATGGTGATTTTCCCATCAGTTTCTTGTAAATGTTTACCAGAGGGTACCCACTTACCAAATAGGATTTGTCTGAAAATAGGGTATATTCCCAATCAAATAGCCATTTAAAAACGGGATAATGATCAGCAAAACCATTGGGTACACAGGGGTACACTATTTTCAGACACACCCATATGGCAAAATTGAGTATGTCTTGACTGTCTTGACTTTTTGCTTTGATTATTTTGAATGTTTCTGAAAACAAAAACATTGAAACACCTTATTTTCAGACACACCCAAATGGGATGCACTGAGGTTGATGTCCACCAGGTCGCCGGACGCGCCGGCTTCGATTCGACCCCGCTCATCACCACGCTTGATGCCGCTGCGCCGATCACCTACCTGGATGATGAAAAGGGATCCGGAAAGGGTCATGGGATAACAATGGTTAATAACGGTTCATCATCAATAATGGTTAGTAATGGTTCATAATGGTTAATAATGGTTAATAATGGTTAATAATGGTTAATAATAATGGTTAATAATCGTTAATAATGGTTCACAATAATGGTTAATAATGATTGATAACGGTTCATAATGGGTAAGAATGGTTGATAATGGTTCACAATAATCAATGGCCATGTCAGGAACCGAAAAAAATGGAGGTACCTACCGACCTATATAAGGCGTATGTAAGGGAACATCTCCATAAAATATGGTCTTATATGGTACAGTACCTCCATTTTAGGATCCTGAAATTCCCATTGATATTCATTTCCGGAGTGATCAGGTAATATGATCTGGTTGGTGGTTTTAACATGTTTTAACCATCTTGAAAAATATGAGTTCGTCAATGGGAAGAATGACATCCCATATGTTTGAAACCACCAACCAGATGTAACATGATTCATGAATGGAATCATCTAACAGAAAATATCTTGATTCAAAAACATATCATGAATGGAATCATCTAACAGGAGTTCCCATGTGTTTTTTCTTGATGGGATCATTGCATGTTGACACGTACCAATTTTAGGGGTCAAACAAACGATGGAGGGCAAATAGCACAAGTTGCACAATACCCTAGAGAGGATTGCAATTGATGCAATCCACAATCTTTGGAACGAAAACCGGCATCGTGGGTATATAACCGGCTACATAACATACCTGGAACCCAAACTACTCTTGTTCTAACTATTGGTTTAATCCGCCATTCTATGGGTCATCAGAACTCCTAGAATAGGGTCACAAATGGGTTCCAGGTACAAATGGGTTTGTCTGAAAATTTGGTAATCCCAAATTGATTGTTAACCATCATGAATCGCTGTCCCTATAAAAATTGTAGTTCTGTGGTATATCCCCATTTTTTGACACAAAATGATAAACCCATCTACGCTTAAAACTGGGAATTTACGATCAGCAGGGTTATTTTTTATCACAAATTGGGGTGATGCTGCAAGTATTCCACTGGATTTGTTCATGATGTAAAAGAAACCATCTCAGTTTTTAGTGTTCCTTACAGTTGATGTTAGTTGCATGTCTAGATTTTTCTCGAAGTGCTTTGCCAATTATGTTGAGTATCCCCATTTTGCTGTTGGTTCCAGTCGTTTTTCGGTCGTTGATTTCTTTTGTTGATCTCCATGCGCCTGATGATCACTGGCACAAGAAACTGGATTTCGATATGTTTGAAGTTCTATCTGCACATTATTACCTATACAGATACAGCATCTGTTGTGTATCCAACGTTACTAAATCTCCAAAAACATGCCCAATTTTACCATTTCGGGTTCTTTGTACACCATAGCGACTTGATACCGTGATTCCGTTACAGTTCATTCACCGTAAAATACTTCTGGCGTATCCTGGCTGAATCATGGCCAGAAATCCCCGAGCCAATAAGATAACCTACTCCTAACAGGGTTACTCCTAAAAGTTGCTATCTGTTCAAAAATAATCTCAAAAATCCAAAAAAACTCAAACAAAACGAAACAACATAAAAAACAACTTACAAAAAATCAATCCAACAATTCAAAACGAAAATCAAAACCAAAAAAAAACAAAAAAACGCAGAATATCCAAAAGAAACTAAAAAAACATAATTATTAAAAACAAAACACACAAACAGTTGAAACAATAAATAAAACACAAACCCAAAAATCAAAACACATTAAACACATATTTACTTAAATACAAAACAAAAAATAGAACCATATATATATATACACATTTAAAACCAAAAACAATAAAGACACAAAAAAACATATTAAAGAAAAAAATAAAATGAAAAATAAAATTATCATTGTTTTAGTACTTCTTTAACATAACCTAAAAAGTATGAATGAAAAATAGATAATTAGTTGGAATGAAATGGAATTATTTGGAACGAAATTGAATTATTTGGAGTTAAAATGAATGAAAAGGAATGTTCTAGGAGTGTCCCTATAAGGAATGTCCCTCTCCACAGAAAATATTTTATGGGATAAGTAGGGTAAATCCACTTATAACTAGGGTTATAACCTACTTACTAAGTGAGACGAAATACCAAATAGTGACCATAGCCTACAGCTAGAATTGGCTAAACACATGCTGATTGGCTCTGTAGTTCCTTGCTGCCCCCCATATGGGCCCCAAAATTGAACAGATCTAACACTAAACCCAGGGTTGTTAAGGGGATATTGAATATTAGGGGAAAGAAAGAATAGTTGTTAGAGTTATATTAAATATTAATACCCATCTGTTGTGCTATATTAATATCCCAAATATATATATATATTTATTTATATTAATATTTAACAATAGAATATTTGATATACCCCATTATACCAATATCCCACGAGTTAAGAGTTATATTAGATATCCCATTATCAGATTATCAACGGTTGGTCACTCAGAGGTTTTATCATTGTGGTTCCCGTTAACCCACATTAATATCTCATTAATTAATCCAAAAAGAATCCATTATAACAGATATCATATAAATACATTTATCTACAGTATATGAATATAAATATATATATATGTATACATATATATATATACATACATAGCTTCTCAGGCCCACTTTGCAGGGCTGTCGGCCCTCAGAAGTTCGGAGCATGGATTTTCCTCATCATTGTTGTGTTTCCTCAAAGCACATTGTACAATACTGTTCTTACCGTATCTCTAATATATAGAATTATTACATAAGAACTATATCATACTATATCCATTGTTATATATATATATATTTATTAGGGGGTTAGCTGTCTTGCTCCACGGCATCGCGCTCGAACAGATGGGCTAGGCACCTGTTAAACGGTGTTTTGGCCCTAGTCTGCGTCCAGGTTGGGCAGATGGCCCACTTGCTCTAACGAATGTTGCAGCTGAATTTGGAGAATGGTCAAAAGTTGAAATTCCATTCTCTGCAACTCTGGGTTGATGCGATTCAACAAGGCATTGGCCATGAAAATCCATTCACCGGCTGCCGGCATGAAAACGGGAACTTCTTGCGTGAGTTGGAGCAATTGCTGCTTACACTGTTGGAGCTTGGCGCGAAAGAACACAAGGTTCTGGTAGGGCTCAAGCAACGTTTGGAAGGACGGTTCGGTGAAGGACATTGCGACAGAGCGCAAGGCACTTGCCTATTGAAGCATGAAATTGAAGCAGGAATGTTTATCATAAACATTCTGGTTAAAACTGTAACTTCGGAAAGCATAGGTGGAGGCACAATGACCGATGGTGATTGGACATGTAACTTGAACATCATACCAAGTATGAAATGACATGGTTATTGTCACTTGACAAAAGGTCACTTGACCTTGGTGTGCTTGAAAGAAAAGGTCACGTGACCGTAAGGGTGGGACATTGAAAATGGGTTGGGACGAAAAGAAGTACGTGGGGTATGATCTCACTTGAGATGACTGCCACGTACATCCAAGAATCATCCACTCAAAATAAACCCTAACATGTGAATCAACATGTATGCTAACTGGTACAACTGCTTTGGACGTGCATGTTTAACAACAAGACACTTCTCATCCCGTTATGAAATAAAACTGTATCAAACAAGTTTGAGTTCCGTCATAAATATATATTATATATATATATATTTATTTATCCAAAAAAAATATGTCTGAGTAAATTACAATATTTCACTAACCTGCACTAATTAAGGTCATTTGGGGATGATTTCTCTTGTTAACCATGATTCCAGTGAGGGAGAACAGTGAGGTCGTGATTGAATTTACCCAGATAATATCTATTAAAGACAAACAGGGGGTCGGAACGGAAACCCAAAAGGAAAGGGGAAACCAAACCGCCGAACCCTGCATCAACAAACAAACAAATGCCCTCTTTTGCTCGGGCACTTGAGCCAATGGCGTCATGTGCGCAACCCTTATACCTAGGTAGTTGTTAAGGTATAAGGGAAACCAGATTCTAACCAGAGGCTACTCTACATGTATAACGCTTCTATACATGTGGTGCTACAGCTGTACATATCGGGGATATCTACTTTGGGTATGATGGACCCATAGCTAAGGCATACCTCTACTAGACCTACCTGCACATGCTATACATGGTGGGGCTCAGGGGTCGATATATTTCAACTCCCCCCTCGCCTGTTCCACACGCACTGCGCATTGGCAGGCACCTAAGCAACTACTGTCGCGTGAACGGACGTTCACAGCGACCTATGCTTTGGATTTAAGGTCTAAGGGAAGGTCAGTACGGATTCCTAAAAGGATTAGTGCTGCTGCCCATTTGTGTGGAGGCAATGCCTTGGTGAATATGTCTGCCGCCTGGTCATCGGTGTGGGTGTACTCTATTTCGGCAGAGTCATCTCTGAAGACTTCAGACAGGCAAGACAAATTAACTTTGTGTGTTCTAGTTATATGGCGAAGCTTGGGACTATATCCTTTCTTCACAACTAGGATTGTTGCTTGATTATCTTCGTGGACCTTGAGGGTTACGGAGCGTGCAAGCAACAGCTCCCATAACTGTAAGGCAGGCAAGCCTTCTTGATAAAGCGAATGGGCTAAACTAACAACCTCGCTTTCCGTGGTCGATCTAGAAGTGGATGTTTGGCGCTTGCTAATCCATGCAAGTGGGAAGAAGGAACTAGGGCCAGTTAAAACCAAAAAGCCACCGGAGGTTGAGTTGATCTGTCGCCGGCGAAGTCGGCATCGACAAACAGTCTGAGCTCTAGGTCTTCAGGCTTGTCCTGAATGGTACCTACTAACCTGTAATGTGGGGTTGAGGCTATGTACTGGATTAATCTTAGGACCTTCTTATCATCCCCCCTGGACCACGACTGGACCTTTGTGGCCAGATCATTGATAGGCTTGATGATGTCGGGACGTGCAAGTCTACCTAACCAAAGGGCTTTCATCAAAATCTTACATGCGTTTGGAGCTAGTTCCCCT